CAGCTAAATGAGGTGACACCAAAAAAAAAAAGCACTAACTTAAATTCCAATACACTTTTGGCATTAATTGCACATTTTACAAATTGTTTGGTAGAGAATCAGTACTGATTCAGGTGCGGAAACTGCTATAAAATAAACAAAACATTCAAGTACAGAAAAAATCAAAATGGAGCCAAGTTATAACCAAAAAATTTCAAAAGAAGCAAAAAAAAAATGCATTTATTCAAATCTGCCCAAATCTCCCCTTCCAAGCAATAAGCCAGTTTGAATCACCCGGGGTTTGAAAAAAAAAAAAAGTTATGCATATTTAAACCCTTCCCAAACTGCCTTTAGAAAGATGTGAGGCCTGAAAAAGTTCCTAGGGAAGAGTAATTTGGAAAACTGGGGAATTCCCAATTAGTAACAGTAATTAAAAATATTAAACTTTTTAAAAAAAAAGATTCCTTTTCTCCCCGAAATTTTGGAAAAAAAATGACACAAAAAATGGGTGGAGTGCCTGGTATAGGCTATTAATCTCGCTGTCATCTTTAAATATTTTTAAAGAAAAAAGAACTAAAAAAAAATTTCATCTTTAATTTTTGGGGGACAAAGGGCTAGGTGCCCCTGTGCATTTTCAAGAGCTTTAAGGCAGTGAAATTTCCTTTTCAAAAAAAGTTCAACATCTTTGCATATTTTAGCTCATGAATGGAAATTATTTACCCAAAAAATTGCTATCTAAAATAAAAAATCGAGAAAAAAGAAAATAAAATTTTCTAACCAAAAATTCTAAAGTTCTTTTCACATTATGGGTTTCCCCCCTACTTTTTTTTGCCCTTTCTGCTCCAGGTTTTTAATCCACCAAAATCTTTGATTTTTTATTTTAAGAAACTCAACCAGCTAGCTTATATGGTCCGGGAATAAAAAACCCGGTCAACATTGCCTAAAATAGCGTGTGACCCTAGGTATCCTTTACCAGCATGGGGAAAAAGTTGGGTAATTCCAAAGTTAAGCAAAATAAATGCAAGAATGCCCTGAAGTTTCCCGGAAAAAAACCCTTTAACCCAAAAATTTTTTTTTCTTTCTATATTTAATAAAACACCCTTCAGAACCTCATTACCTGGAGCTACTATCATCAATATCAGTTCTGAACACCTTCATTAGTCAATACTAACAGTAGCTCGCCTTGATAATTGCCAATAAAATGCAATTTTCAGACTTCATTGATTGGCCCACAGAATAATCGTAACTATCTCACCTAGAATAGTAGGAAATAAAAAAATATTGATGGAAAAACCTTTACATGACAGCAGTGGAATTAAAATGAAAACATTGTCAGTGGATTTAATGGCAAAATCAGAGGGTTTTATTGGAATAAAATTCTCATTCGTTATAGACAGAAGTCAATAGAAAATTGAATTATCTACGTGAAAAAAGGCATCAGAGAGAAGCATTTAATTTGATTTGGCTACCAGTAATTGATACATATATCAAGGGAAAATGATCAATTCTGTCAAGTACAACATGGGTACATAATATAATTCAAAACCTTTATCATGCTAAATCATCTTAAATAGACTTATTTTTTATTATATTTCTGTCTGAACAAAATCATTCAACATTTTTGTGGAAATTATTAAAATGATTGTACTGACAGCTGAATAGCCATCAGCTCAGACCATGGTCAGACAGCATGGATGTGTCACATGATCTAAGTCTGAACTGGTTGGTGATTGTATGGGTAGGAAAAGATGCAGCTGGCTAAGGGTTTGTATAAATCAACATCTGTTTATCTGTTAATGTCAAACCCCTTTTTGGAGACCTAGCTAATGCATTGCACTTTGGCTGCTTACTGGGTGTTTCAACCAGTTTTTGCACCAGCATGGATTTGTGGAGGTTGAAAGAGAATGGGACTTGGACCTCTAGATTAGGAGTTGAGTGCTCAGCTCCACCCAAACTACTCTCCTGCACATCGGTTGAATTTCTTCTACCGTTCTCTTTCTTACTAATGAAGTGTATTCAATCAGCTGATAAGGGAGCGTACACCCAAACATAATTTTTCTCTAATAAAATACCATTTTACCATATTGAAAATAATCAATTTAATTTTCATAAGATTCAAATGAGGTAAGAACTCATCAACAGTTATTGTTTTAACAATACCTTAAAGACAGCAAACATTCCTCAAGCCTGCTGTACTTAATTATACTATTCAAATATGAAGGCGTTGCCAGAAAATTGTCATGATTTTTCTATTTCAATAGAAAAATTGTTATCTTGGCATTGCAGTTAAACATATTAAATGTTAATTCAAGTAGAAAATGCTAAAATGAAAAACAAAAACAAATTTCAAAATATTGAATTCCATACTGCTAAGCTACAATAAAGTGTGACCATAGCATGCAAGCAATAAAATTTTCTCACTTTCTCCTGCAATTAGCAGTATGTTACTTACATAACATTAATCATTAACCAATTTCATAAACATGGTTTCCGAGCAACTTTAGCACTGCCAACCCTCTTCTTTCGCTCAATTCCCATCACATTCACCATAACAATATGTCAGAGACTCCAAAGAAAGACAAAAGACCTAATGCTATCAAAACTTAGTCATTGTAGAAGTATGGCTACTGAAAAGTCCACAGATTACTTGACTGAACATGGTGAAGATTTAATATCTTGCAATTCTGATGTCAAAACCAGCATTTAATTGACAATTTTCTAATATTTATAATTGGGACAAAATTGGACAGTCTAACTGTCTGGTAACTTGAAGTTCATTTTATTGAAATAAGTCACAATGAAGGTGTGATAACATCATTGTATCAAAGACATTATTTGATTTTACTGAAGCAATGCGTCTTTTTTTTATTCAAGCTTTAAAAATGCCTGCAAGTTCCCCATCAAACTGAAGTAAAGAACTAGAAATGTGTCCATACGACATGTATGCACCAGAAGGGTGGGGTAAGGGGAATATGACATTTTTATCTCATGTTTAACATTAAACCTGGGTGTTATGCATGTCATATCCTATCCTCTGTCAAAGACATCTGCATCTTTCATGGAATAAGAAGACATATCTTGACCTTGACCTCATATTAAGACTTGAACATTAAGGGTGGAAATGTGGCTCTCGCAACAATTATTCCACCATGCATGCAGAAGTTATGAATTTAACACAAACTCTAGCTGCATTATGACTATATAAGCACAAATGTCAATCCCTTGTTAGGACTTTGACCTCTGAGCTAGGGACCTGGGTCTTGTGTATGACACATTATCTACTTTGGGTGGTTTAATGCATATAAATTTATTTTGAAATTCCACCATGCATGCTGAAGTTTTGGACAGGACACAAAGTATATTATTTTCTAAATTTAAATTATGTTGAAAGTCATTTATTTTCATAAATAAAAGGTTTCAGTCCAATTTTTCAATTTCTGTTGTTTATTTTTTTTCAAGTAAGTAAATAATCATTTAAAATGCTAAAATGTTGACCATCTGGATATAGGTAAAACAACACATACACTATGTGTATCAGGGACTCAGTGCCTGGCCTTGAGTTTGAAACAGTTAATTTCAATAATTTGTAAGTTTAAAGTGTTTCAATATCATAAATTGTTAAATAGCCAACAGTTTGGTCTGGACAGCATGATAGAAATACAAACCAGTATAGTATAGTAGTGGCATATGCAAGTAATTATTGAAGCTATCTCTCACAATGTTAATACTGTGGAATTCATGTTATTTCTATCATACTCAGGTATTATCATGTTCTACAATCTATGGGCGTATCATGTATATCTCAAGAAAATCATTAGAGCACTTACTATAGCACTACATACAAACAACAATTTGTTTTCCAGCTGATGTTTTTTTTCTCCTGAAGTAAGGTTAACTGAAGTCTTTTATGAATTTTTGTTACAAACAGTATTATTAACTAAACAAATTCCTTTAACAAGTGAAAAAATAACATATCTAAGGTCATCTTTAGACATGTCTTAGGTTAGATTTTTGAGCAAAAACAATTATATAACACTGAAATATCATTTATTTATTCTTATTTTTCAGCATTCACAAGGGAGACAACTTGTGAACACTTTTGTGTCATATTCTGAAAAGTGACAAGGTAGAAAAAGTAGCCTCCCTTTACAAGAGACTCAAGCAGACCAAAAAAACACCAACATTTTTTTTAACATAATGACAACTGCACATGTTGCAAAACAGTAAAGAAACAAGCAAATAATTGTTTTACATCAATAGAGGCAAACTCTTCTAGTTATTAAGTACTAAAACTATGACAATACTAAATATCTTCATCAAGAATTACACCTAAGCATCCACTAGTCAGACTACATGCGAGTAAGCTTATGGCACAGTCATTTTCCCTGCAAATATTATCGAAGAATGTGACCTAGTGGTTAAAGTGTCATGGGTTCAAGCCCTACTAGGGTCACAACCAATGTTTCCTGATATGACACCGATACTGGTTAGTTCAAGGGAGCAGACTTGAAGCAGATTAATTTTAGTTGCAAGAACTTGTTTAAATTAATGTCACAACATAAAATGAGTCTGGTATAAAGTTGTGTATGCAAAGTTAAATTTGGTAATTTGGGCAAAATACAAGAGGTAAAATAGTTAATGACAATATTTTGGAAAATAAATTATAAAGATATATTTTTTTTCCCCAAATCAACACAGTCAGAATTTAATTTATATACATCTGGTAGGCCTATCATTTACAATTTTGTATTAAATTTTTAATAAATCTTTGCATTCCATTATGTATTACAAAGTAGAAAAGTCCTTTTTTAATTATACAGACAAGCTTTTATTATAACCAAGCATCACAACTTATTGCAGCTCTTAAATTGTAAATGACTGTGCCTTGCCAATTATTTGTCACATGTGAAGTCTCTGTACTTTATAATTGTGTAATAGAGCTGCATAAAAAATCAACAGTCACTGACGATAAATGCACGGTCGTATAGTTAATAGTTAAAATGAAAAAGGAAGAAACTAACCTGTTAGATTTGGATCAATTGAACAATCACCAATAGAATCATCACCCGATATTGTACTAATCTGTAATGCTTGAAGAGCTTGTATTGACTTGGGTACAAGCTTGACATCCAGAGTGTCAGGAGGCCGGGTTTTGACTGGGGAATCACATTCTATAGCATCCCCAGACAGCAATGAACTGATGCTAGTTTCTGTAGTGCTAGGTTTATCCGAGTCAGCATAACTGTACTTTGGCGAGACTTTTACAGCTTTCCCAGTAGCATTTGCCTCCCCTGACTTCTGTTTCTTACGGTCTTTGAACTTGTGATACATGTCCTTGTCATTTTTCGTCGTTTGTTCAATGGATTTCATATATAATGCTGATTTAGGCGTTTGTTTAGAACCGTCAGAATGACTGTTATTAGACAGGTTCAAATCTTCAAATGAGGAATCAGACTTGTTAGAAGACTTACTGCTTTTCTTCGACTTTCCCATTAATTTCATTAATGACTTCCTTAATTTCCCGCGAGACAAACTACTTGTACTGTTATGTCTTTGGAAGGAACCATCAAGTTCATCACCAGGAGACAAACTCTGAGAGCTAGCTGTTGAAAGATTACCTTTTTTGTTTTTTCTGCCGACATGAGGTGACAATCTGCGGAAAAAGTTTCCTATACTGCTACTGATTGATCGTTTAGCAGGAGTTAGTCGACTACTCTCGATCTCACCCTTTTCATTCGGAAGAGAATTATGCCTTTCTCGTGATTTTGAATCTTTGGTTTCATTGACTTTTGTTGGTTCTTTAGCTGGTTCTACTACTAATGTTGGTGAAACATCTTTCATAACTTCCTCTGCCTGTTGCTTTATTTCATCAGAATAATTATTTGTGACAGCAACACGATAACTAACACTTCTCTCATTGTCATAGTCCTCACTAACTATAATTTTCTTTTTCTGTCCACCTTCACTTACCACTTTTACATTTTGTCTTGGTTTCATTGAACCATTATTAGAAACCATCACTTTAGCGGTTCCATTTGGTGTGCTAGATTTGTGGCTTTGATTTCGACTTTGACTAGACAAATCGAGACTATCTTTAGTCTCTAAAGAAGAATACTCCTTCACAATCTGTTGGGTCAATTCTCGTAATTCCATAGAAATATCCCTCTGACTAGAATTTGACATGTCTGACTCCATCATTGAACTGTCAGCTGAAAAATGCCCTGAAGTCTCGTTTAAATCTTTATCACTTAAGTTTGTCACTTGACTGTCACTAGCTTCTGAACCACGAATCTTAACGGTCTCGTCATATGTCACGCGTCTATTAGATCTTCGTCCTGGACTTTTCGACCTATTTCTGTTACTTCCCTTTAAACTGGATGTACACGGGCTAGTAGATCTACTTCTGTCCCTTTTTATCCTATCTGGTGGAGCAATAGCACTAAAACTTGTCCTGTATGGCTGTGGAATTTTTGGCTTAATCACTTCGTCGTCATCAGATCCTTCTTCACTCGTGTAACTCCAACGATTTGACGATCTAGCTGGACTTCGATGACGAGTCAAGCGATCTCTAACAACGTGACTTGAGTTGTCTTTACTACTTATTTCACGACTATCTAAAACAGAAGCAGGGCCATGCAAAGCCATGGCTTCTTATTGTAACTCAAAGTTCTCCACACAACATCTAAGTGGAATATCTGAAAATATACAAAACACATAATTATTTCTCAAACAAAACTACATTTTTCAGTACAAAGTCATATACCTAACAAAACTAAGAAAACATTTAATCCTTGTGTACACAGAAAAGGGCTTTATATATGGTATTTTCCGTGTTTCTTAATACAAGCCCTCTTCATCATTAACGAGGAAACATTTTATTAAACAAAGTAAAGAATAATTACTTTGACAAGACAGTTAATGTTAACATTCAATTATATACATCATCCACAAGGAAATTTCCAATTTAAAAACCAATTTCAAATAATACTAAAATGTTCGTAAAATTTATTTCCAAGTTATAACAGTTTATCCAAGTAGTTTTTTGTGAGACAATATTATGTGACAACAACAAAGTATAATGTCAGCTTCTTTAACTTGTGGAAGTACAAGACGATCCATTTACAATAAGCTGCTCTAAAAATCAATGTATGGTAATATTGCCTTCTACAATATTCAGAGTTGTAAAATTACAAGAGTTTTAACTTCTTTTTGATGTGTGTTTATCAATTTAAAGCTGACTCTTGTTTCACAACACCCCAGTCATTTAGTGTTTTTTTAATGTTTTTGCTATCCCACATATTGCTTGAATCTTCTACATTAGGAGACTCACTGTCACACAAAAACCTTTACCTGTAAGATTTCTTGCATGTTACCTTCTCCAAATGCCAATCCAATTAAATAGGTCAATTATAATCAATTTTAGGATTGATGGTGAGAAATATGGAAGCTGATAAGCATTAGCCAACAATACTGAGTCTGATCAGACTGCTGGTTCAAGTTGTGGCTCTATACTGGGTGCCAAACACTGCCCACGGTTAGTACAAGCACTATAGATGTGTTTTATATATGATATGAGCTACCCGGCATACCATTTGTTTATCAGTGTAAGGATGGACAACATGATATTCAGGACAGACAAACAGACAAGGAACAAGCCTATAATTATACCTCACTCATTCCCCAGATAGTGGGGGCATAAAAATGCATTTTCTATAGATATAACAGGTTTGGCAAAACTAGTATTTTTGTGTTTTATGCTGTTCTTAATCAGTAAATTACTGAAGCAAGCAGTTTTATGGTAAATAATTATATTAAGAACTTCCCTCTCCATGGAAAACTCCCAAGAGGACTATTTTTTTGTCCTTACCCTATGGTTTACAACAGACAGGAATTGATCTACAAAAATCTTTATAGTAAGTAGTGACTGAACAGTTCAGACCATGATCAGATGACATTAATATGCCAGTTTATTTTAGTCTGCACTGGTAGAATTGCGTAGTAAACTAAGAGTTAATTCAAAAATGTCTTCCCATATTATACTACATTATACCCCATAATAACTTTATTATATGTGACAAAAACAGTTACATAGCTAGTCTGAAGACATAATAAGTCAATTTTCATTCATTAAATAATACTTGAATGATTAGTTTTATTTTTTGCAAGTTTGGCACCCTTCCACTATCTTAACTAACATAATAAGCCTGTATATTTTTCATACATTATATAATTATCCTGATGTACATGATGTATAGTAAATCAAGTTGATGGAATAAAGCCCCTCCCCCCAAGCCAACCTACAATCTGAATCTGTATATATTACATACTTTTCGGTGGTTTATGGAAATATATCAGTGATATAAAACTGGTAATTTCACTGTTTGAAACAGTGAAATTACCACTTTGATAATTTCACTGTTTTGAATTTAAGCCCCTTACCAGCGTGCACAGAACTGGGTACCAATTTAATGACTTGACGTCGTAAATGATGTAACGTTATATTATTATTTGGCGCGCTTTTCATTCAGTATTAGGTTTAATGTCTTTTTAAAACGTTTCTTTGCATATAATAAAAAGAAAATTTGTTTAGTTTAGTGTAAGATCAAATATATTTCACCTTGTAAACACCAAAAGTTCATATTTCACTAGTGGCTGTGCCACTCGTGAAATATACCTTTTGGTGCTCACTCGGTGAAATATATTCCGATCTTACACTGAACTAAACAAATATCCTCTATATATTGCTTTAAAATATAATTATTACATGTATGGAAATTGTTTAAACAGTTTTTTATATTCTTTTATTTGAGGAAAAAAAGTTTTGTTGTTGATTTTTTACAACAGTTTCTGAAATACAAGCAGAATATCAAGGAAATGAATTTCCTTGTTAACAGAATCATTATAAAAAATCATTTTATTTTCCTTAACAGAAAACTAGCCTGACTGACAAAAGCTACTTCATTAAGTAATTAATGGAAATCAAAATCTAAAATCTCTTGTAATTAAAACTACATTTTTGTAACATGCAAATTACAGTTTGAAAAACATCAAAGCTAAACAACAACCAAAGTATCTCTGCCAATGAATCTCCAGATCACCAATTAAACTCTGCAAAGAGCTAATAAATTCCCACTTTTTATTACCTGATGAAATTAAAATGTCCTGTTCAATTGAACATTTGAAGAAATTGAATTTCCTGGCAGTAAAAAATCACTTTTAGATCCAGTATAAACAGTACAAATAATGACACAATATGAGCAGGGAACCAATATACCAGTAACCAGCTATACTTGTTATCTATCTAAACAGATGTTGTTTGTAGTATTATATACCTGGCAATTGATAAATTCCTACAGATTATACTAATCAACTACTGTTTAGAAACCATTAATTAATGAATCCCACAGGAGCTTGTATCTTCCTGTATAGTTTCAGTCTTGCTAAACATTTTTCTGAGTCAAGACTTTCACTGGTCAGTGAACATTGTCATTCTGCCAATCAAACAGGAGATATGTTAGTTAGAGCTTAAAAACATTTCTTTATAACATCAGGATCAGCTGATCAAATTAACTTTAAATATAAAACATTTATCATTTTATTCTTAATACATGTATGTATAATTATATTGATTAAGGTAGACCATGGGTAATGCATTACCTCCACTTTGAAGAGTATTCAAATAGGCTAGAATCGCTTGCAAACAACACTGAAATTGAGGGGCGTGGGTTAAAGCCCCAGGAGGGGCAACTTTTTTTTCTTTCTTTTTTTTCTTTTTAACATTTTTTATGTATCTCTCTGATCCCTTAATGAAGAAAAAAGGGTTTGATTTAAATTATATAATTATTGTAGGTATTTATTTGCTAAATAATGCCAAAATTTATAGTAAATATGATACCAGATATTTTCAAAGTTTAATAAAGTAAAAACTACACGGTAAAAGTATTTAATATTTCGCATTATCAACCAATATACCTTTAAGAAAATTTAGGCAAACTTTGAAAACAGCCCCTCATTATGGTAAATTTTAGGAATATTTTGAATAAGGCATTTAAGATAGGGAAATGGTAAAATAAGTGTTTAAAGGGGGTGGGGTAGGGTAACATTTTTATACATATTAAGAACATTTTGTTTAGAAACAAACATTTTGCTTGTGTAATTTGTTACCTGAATGTTATTATTTGTTTCTTTACAATGGGCAATAGAAAAACATTTTTTATAATGATGATATTAAAGATTATTTAGAGTTTCTTCATTTCTGAAAATAAGCCCTTCTAATGGCAAAGTCTTAGTTTAGAAATATATCCATAACTCGTAAACCACACGGTAAATTTTATTAAAATTTTGCATACAGGTGACCTTGAAGACATATAACTGTCCTATGTTGTCAATTTAACAGTTCCTAATGGTGCCCATTACCCATGGTCTACCTTAAGCCATCATCATTTCAACTTGTTTTCTTCTATCAATTGGGCAGCTGAGATATTCAGAAATCTCTAAATAGCTGTTAGATATGTCAATACTTTACAATTTTAATAATTGATAGCTTATGTACTTTTAGTAAAAAATTTTACTTTTAAATAAAAATACCTGACCTGTGAAGGTTTTAAATTATACATGACAGTCTCTGAGATCTAACATCACCATATTATAATAGACTTAATGCTCCTTGTTAATACCATTAAATTAACCCTTAAATACTGCTGATTAAGTGACTTAAACAGATTTCCAGTTTTGAAACTATCCTTTATCAATTTTGGGAATACCAAGATGAAAATTTGAAGTTGGTCAGCGAACAGTAAAATTTTAGCCTGCTCAAAGTACAAGGTTGTGCAGGTAACTGTCTGGTTATTACTCAATAGGTACAGTGTTGGAGATCGATTCCCAGACGGTGCAAGCCACTTTTGTTATAATTTATCATGAAATCCTTTACACAGTCATTTGCATTGTACCTTTGCTTTGGCATGTATAGAAGTTATAATTTCTCACGAAAATGAAGCTGACTTATAATACTGAGCTTGTCCAGGAACGATACAGTGGCAGAACTGTGCTGTGGTAAATTTAATGTGGTTTACTGCCATGATGTGGAGGGTTAACTCAACCAACATCACCCCCAAGATGTGCAGACTGATCTGGCTCTCGGTGGCATTTATACTCTTGGTAAAAAATGCTTATAATCACCTTTCAATTCCAGGAAGGTCAACAAGATATCAGTGGACTGAGATAAGTATGGTAGATGGAGAACTTCTCAAGGTCAGAAACAGATTATTCTAAATTACTGAGATACTCTAATGTCAAATACATTTAAGATCTGTTTACTTGTATAATTATGTGTAATAAACTTTTAAATTAATTTCTGCCTACTTGAACTTCAAATAAAGTAAACCCGACAGCATCATATTAAATCAATGACTTTATTCAACCAAGAAAATTCAACTGTGCTCTTTTAAATCTTTTCCCTGATAATTCTCCTTTAACAAAACCAAACCATCTAAAAGTACAATTTTCATCTTATTGATACCATATCATAGCCCCCTGTGAGAATTATAAACTGTGTCTTATTACATACATAGCCCACATATCACTTCTCATCAATAGCTCCCTGAAGCCTGGTACAAACCTGGAATATTTCTCCTGTATATCACTTCATGTCATCAGTAAAATACATTCTTTATTAAATCATCATGAGCATGATTTA